GCACAGGAGAACAAAATACATCCTGCAATGGGTTTAAAAAGTTGTAGATGCCAATGGAAATCCACAAGAAAAGTACCATGACAGGAATAATGTCATATGGATATGGGGAGGGGGAGCTGATAACTACAGCTATGTCCCATCAATTCCCAAGGCTTTTGGCCAGTCTGGAAAAAGCCCAGAATAAAACACAAGAGAAAAGTGTTTCAAATGGTGTTTGTATCAGGATGGGAATCATGCAGTCCTCTTGGATTGCAGATCCCATCATTCCTCATCACTGGCTATGCTAGCTAGAGCTGCTATAACTTGCAATCTACCAAACTCAAGATGGCTGCTTGATTTCCATCTTTGATTTAACCAAATGTGTTTCACACTGTTTCTGTGGTATCATGCTAACCTTAGTAGATGTTCCCCTTATCTGTGCCTTCCCTATGTGTTTGCTGCCCCACCAAGTTTCACATAGTTCCATTATATTCAGATTACCACATGAAAAACTGTGTATAGGACAGCACCCTTATGTGCCTTCCTGTATCTTTTTGAAACAAGTGTTTACATCAGAGTTTGTGTATTTCTGTTCTGTTTGCAAACAAGTAACAGGTGAGAGCTGAAATCTAGCCAGTAGTGAAGAAAATAATTTTTGAGTTTTCTCAGATTGTTAGATGGGAAGGATTCAACAGGTATCTTTAGGGAGTATCAGTTTGTGCTGATTTTTAACCTAGCATCTTGCTGTTCTTCACTATTTTACTTGTGCCACATTCAATAATAACATAATAGCATAAGGGAAAGAGACATGAGATACAGATATGAAGTTGTCAAAGAGAAGACTATGGGGGGATGCAGACCAGGGCATTTGGAGCACCCTGGTCCGGAGCGCCGCGGGGCCATGGCAGCCACACCGCGGCGCTCCTGGAGCGACCCTGAAAGGAGCACCAAATTGGCGCTCCTTTCATAAGTCAGAAAAAGTGCTCCCCAAAAGCGGCGGGCGCACTTTCTCTGACTTATCCTCTGCAGCGCATCCGGTCGCTGCGGAGGGAGGTCGCTCTGAACGCGCCAGCCGTCCAGTGGCCCGGAAGCGCTCAGGGCGACCTCAGGAAGAGGAAGGAGGGCCGCGCGTGCGGTGGCTCCTCCTCTTCCGGGCCTCCAAGACGACTGTTTTAGTCGTCTGCTTAGGCCCTATGACTCAGAGCCTGATGCTTATTCCCTCTAGCAATTATGACAGCCTTTTGCCATATCAGCAGCTGGACACCCTCTTTGGAAATTTGTTTTTAAAACACCATGGTTCTCCACACTCTGCTCACCCCCATGTCCCTGACTCTTGGAATGTCCTTGAGTAATGTCACAGAAAACTTCCCAGGATTCAGTAAGGCCATTTACCAGTATCACCAAAGGACCTAGCCTGACATTGATAGCTGCTCCCCTCCCCCCAGAGTTGACAATAAATGGTTCAGGAAAGTTGCTGGATGCCCAAACAGAACTAGCAGAAGTCTGGACAACTGGCGATCATAAAAAGTTGCCAGCCAAGCTAAGAAAAAAATTGTGCCAAATTTGCCTTCCTCGGGAGTGCATAGAGCAGCAAAATTGATGTTATTACTGCCTTCTTATCCTCTTCCTTACCATTCCAAACCACAAAGCCTTCCACTGTAGGCTCAGCCAGCCATGCTTGCCAGCAACAACCCTAAAAACAAACAGGAAACTTTTGAGTATTAACCCCATGGACTCTGCTTTACTGGCATCAGACTCTTGACCTATCCCTGGTCCTCTTTGCCTCACTGAGATACCAGAATTTCTGGTATCCTCTTTGCCTCATTGAGATACCAGAATTTCTAGTATCAAAAGAAGGCAACACAATATGTGATACAACTCCATTTCTGTGAATTAACTGTATTCCTCTGGTAGTGCTAATCTTATTACTCTCCACAGAATTACCAGGCATGTGTGTGTGCATGTGTGTGCACACACACGCACAGAGCTGGGAAGAGGGAGTTGTTCCCCCAAGCCAAATAATATACAATTTCTGGAACTGAGAATTTAAAGTGGAGGAAAGATTTGAAAGCAGAAGAGGATATAGAGAGGATGGTAGAGAAGGAGGAAGAAGAAAAGATGTAAGTAGGTGGGAAAAAAGGAGAAGAAAAGGAAATTGATAAGGAAGGAATAGACAAAGATAGAAGAAGAAATAAAAGGAAAGCAACTGAAGAGGGGAAAAGGATCTATGTAGATGGCTCCATAATATCTGGAAGGGTCGATGTCAGACAAGAGAATGGACAAGAAAAGGATTTAATACATAATAGTGTGGATACTAGGATAGAGGACAGTGAGTATGCTCTTGAGAGCGAGGGAGGGAAATTAAGTGATTTAGAGAAAGATGATGATGAAGAGAGGAAGGACATGTTTGAAAGCCAATTGGAGGATGAGGAAGAACTTGGAGTTGGAAATGATTAAGAAAAAATTTATATCATGGAATGTAAAGGACTCAAATGGACTGGTAAAGCGAAAACGCATTTTTCATTATTTGAGTAAGCAGAACTGTGAGCTGATATGTTTGCAAGAGACCAAAATTAGATCAGATGAGGTGAAGTATTTGAAAAACGCTAAATTAGGCCATGAATTTGTTGCAGCGTCAAGCAGACGGAAGAAAAATAAATATGCTCCAAAAGAAGTTTTAAGAGATCCTAAAGGGCGATATGTTGGAGTAGAACTGACATGACTAGGGGAGAAACTGACTGTCATAGGGATCTATGCACCAATGAGAATAAAGGTAATTTTTATAAAAGAGCTTTGGAACAGACTAAGTGAATCAAATATTGAACCAGAGATTATAATGTGGGATTTTAATGGTGTTATAGATCTGGTGGTGGATAGATGGTCAGGAAAAAAATATCAAACCAAACCAGGATAAACTACCAAGATAATTTTTTTAACTAATGGAGACATATAGCTTGTTAGATGCTTGGAGGGTAAAATATGATAAGAGTAGAGATTATACTTACTTCTCAGAAGGGCACAAGTCCTGGGCGTGTATTGACATGTTTTTGATCACCAAAAATATTAGTATTAGTATGACCAAAATGGAGATCTTACCCAGGACTATGTCTGACCACCATCCAATTACTATTGAATTCATTGAAAGATAGAAAGACGTCCAATGGAGATTAAATGGACTGCTATTGAAAGATGATAAGGTAGTTACAGACATTAAAGAAAATTTGAAAAACTATTTTTTGGATAATACAGAACAAGAGTCGCCAATAAATACCATATGGGATGCCTCAAAGGCAGTGATTCGGGGATTGCTTACCCAAAAAGGGGCAGAGCATAAAAAGGAAAAAGAGGATAAATTTAGAAACTTACAAATACAATTAAAAATAAAAGAAACATTGTTCAAAAAATATCCAAAGAACAATTCTTTAATGGATGAAATTAAGGGGCTGGAAAAGCAGATATCATTGATATTGATGGAAGAAATTAGTTGGAAAATGAAATACACTAGACAAAGACTATTTGAGGGGATGAACAAACCTGGTAGGCTATTATCATGTTACTTGAGACACCAAAAAGCTAGGAACATGATACACAAACTAAAAAATAAAGATAAGGAAATAACGGACCAAACAAATCTTAAACAGATTGTGTGGCAGTTCTATAATGAACTTTATGAGAAAGGGAACGCTGATATAGGAAAGATGGATGTATTTAAGACTTTGCAGTATTAAGTCTTTTACTGAGGATCAACTAGGCTGACTTTTTTAGCTAATACAAGTTATACATGTCCCTACCCATTTTATATTACACAGCATTTTTTAAAACTCTCTAAAGCACTTGTTTGCACCACTGTCTGCGATTTCCTCCTGCTGTCATGTCATCTCAAAAGGTAATGAAGAATCACTAGATTATCTCTTATATAGTCTTTCTAGAAATTCCCCACAGTCCACGACAATAAATGCAGTACAGAGGTTTCTGGCTCATGTGTCAAAAGATGGGGCAGTCAACAGAGAAAGTGGATAGTGGTATACACACAGGGTCATCACACAGAATTATTCACAACCCTAGTCACTCTCCCTTTGAGGGTACTCTAACAACTGCCAGTGCATGTAAAAGATGAGAGGCCATGTGTCACAGGAATAAGTGGAATTTTTCTGACAATTAATGTGTATTGCTACAATGGTTTGACACAAATCTATGCTGCAAAGTTTTTTTAAAAAAAATCAGGAGCATTTGCAACAAAGAGAATCCATCTGTGTGTGAATTTGTCCTCATTTTTTGGGGTCATGGGAAGAAAAATCCTTTGAATCAGCCATCTTACCTACAGGCCTCCTTGTGAGATTCTTTCATTATATAGAAAATGGGGCTGACTTTTCTTTGTTGCTCCAGAAGGCAGGATTGGAGGCAAAGGATGGAAATTGAAGAAAAACTGATTTCAGCTAAACATTTGTAAAGTTTCCTAATGAGAAGAGCTTTTTCAACAATAGTTGAGTCTACCTTGGGAGGTGGTGGGCTCTCCTTCACTTGGAAATATTTAAACAGAGGGTGGATAACCATCTCTTAGGGAGGTTGTAGTTGTGTTGCAGATTCTACACTGAGAAGAGAGTGGACTAGGTGACTTCCAGCTTCTTCTGCCACCACTTCCCATAACTCTATAGATCTGATTCTGTAGAGGAGGAAGCTATTAGTGGAGATTTCTGTCTGTTCACCCCATAAAACATTCAGGAATAATGGGGGGGAGGTGTCTCCAGAACTGATTAGACTGCAGCTCCTAGCATTTCTCACCAATGACTGTGCTACTTAAGACTGCTGGAATCTACAGTCCTACAACACATGGGGGGCATAGAATTTCCCATCTCTGCCATTTTTGTTGTGTGCCTTCAAGTCATTTCCAACTTATGGAGACCCTAAGGTGAGCTCATCACAGGGTTTCCTTGGCAAGATTTGTTCAGAGCAGGTTTGCCTTTGCATTCCTTTGTGGCTGAAAGATTGTGACTTGCCCAGGGACACCAAGTGTGTTTCCATACCAGAACAGGAATTTGAATCCTGGTCCCCAGAGTCATAATCCAGTGTTCAAACCACTACACCACACTGACTCACACGCCTGCCATAAGAGTTGTGAATAAAACCTGAGAATGTGGAAGTTTTTGTAGAGGATTCCAAACAGAGCCATTAGCAACTCTGTCTTCAAGATGCTTGAACAGCCTTGATCTGTCTTGCCTGCATGTTTCCATGTGGAGGACAGAGAAGGGATATGAGGAAGTGCTCTGTAAATGATGGGGAAACAATCATGTCTCCAAGGCAAGCAAAGACCAAGTAACAAGGAGAGAATTCTCCAAGAAGCAATCTGGTTAGGGCAGATTTGCAAACTGTTCCAAAATTCTTGAGGTGTTTTTTAAGGGTGTATGTATTTACTTTTGAGAACTTAACAAAAGACAAAGACAAAACAAGCCAAGTTTCTAATCAGGTACAAGAAGAAGCTTTGCTAACGTGCCAGAGTAAATGTAGCAGCTTCCGATATGAAGCTTTTCAACTGAAAGCAAAAGTTTTACCACATTCTTGTGTGACGGGTGGTCCTCTCTCTCCCTTTCACTTTTGCTGCTGTTATGCTGTTACCTGTGAGTCACAAAGCAAATACCCCATTCATGAAGCAGACAGGGGGGAGTAGAAACCTCACGTGGCATATGAGCTGTCATTTAGGCAGGGTGCAGGCAAGAGCAGGCTTCAGAGCAGTAAGGAAAGGCAGAGGTAGGGAACACCCAAGGTGTATGATCAACACAGCAACCACTTATCACATGCCCAGTCAAGTTCCATATGTATAGTAATTTATGAAGTTAAAAACTGTCATCCTGAATCAGCTATTAATCTGTCTTGTCTAGTCACTAATCATGAGTAGAACACTACATTACTTGAAATAAAGAGCAAGCTCTCGAAATGGCACCCCTTGTCACAATTGGTTGCCTAGGACCAGCCCTAACATTAGGCAGATTGCAAAAGCTTTCTCAAGTAAAGGTTTGTAATCTTATAAAAGAGTAGGATGTTTTATGCTTTACTTTTGTTTATTGCTGCTATTTTTCCCTGCCAGGTATGAGGAGAGGGGATTATGGGTGTTTCATAATTTTATGTGTCAAAATAATGTGGCTGGATTAAGTACTATGTGCCTTAACTTTGGGGGAGGAGAACATTTGCTGCCTTGTCTCAAGCAGTAAAATGTCTTGAGTCAGCCCTATCTTTTACCCTCTGAAGTGTATAGTTCAATTTATCTTGGGCCCTGATATCATGGAGCTGAGCATTTCCAGGGCACTCATATCATATCATTGCTTGCAATTGGGAAGAGAGGGGAAGAACTCAGAGTCCATGTCACATTCAACCAAGGAAGCTTCAGGTCTTGGGACTGACTCTAATCCTCCAGGAGTCACAATTCACTTGTCCTGTCCCCTTTGTCATAGCATCATCACTGGGTGCTTCCTGTACATTTTCCTTACACCAGTTCTAAAAGTTAAAATGCCTCTGCTAAGCCTTACTTCCTGGCAGTATGACCTTTAAGCTAAAATAAATTGGATTTTTGACCCCACTTGTTTTGGCTTTGACTCTCCCAGAGTGTGCCCCCCCCAGAACTACTCTGAAACTAAATTCAGCATTCAGACTTCCCATACAAATTGGAGCCTACCATCTAGAGATGAACTATTTCTGTGTGTGCATTTGTATGAATATGTTCCAGCTATTGTCTGATTGCATACCCTCTAACTGCCTTGATTTGGCAGTCCCAGTTAACCCTCTATCCTCCCATTGTCTCATCTTGCTTTTACAATGTCACAGTTTTTCTTTCCTTCTCCCATTTTCCCCCTTTGGCCTCATCTTATTTGAATTGCTGCAAACTGAGTTCAAAATGCAAAAGTAGTTTGCACTCAACTCATCAGGGGGAAGGGAGAGGAAGTGCAGAAGTTTGCCCTTCCCAGAAGACTCAGGCAAAAGCAAAGTGCTATAGCCTCTCCTAATTATGTGTTCTTCCTCATTAATGACTTCTGCCATCTTGACCATGCTCTGATGCTGCTTGACCACACTTGTCCTCGTTTCCATGTGTGAAACGTTGAAGGATATGTTATTGTTTCATAGGCTTTGTTCTTACCTGTTGCAGTAGTTTGGCATGTTGCCTCTCTAGGACTTCATTCCTATTGTAGCCAAAAAGTCTAGTATGGGGAATTGTATTTAGCTCAAATTGAGAGGGGGGTTGGCTACAAGGACCCTGCAAGACTATCTCCCATGTATATACTAATATTCTGGTTGATCTTAGAATTGGTGCAGAGACAGAATTTCCAATTAAAGTATTATTTATTAAAGGGGGAAATCACAGAGCAATTCACACACACACACACACACACACACACACACACATGCAAGGCTCAGGAAATCAGGGGTTAGCTTTGAAAAGGTTCAGAGGCAACACTACAGGTGATACTTACAACTTCTCCGGGATCCAGTTGGGTGAAATGGTGTGAGACACAACCATTTTGAGAGTGTGGATTAAACAGAGGTGCAGGTAACTAGATCAGAGTACAAATTGATGCAGGGTCCCCCTGAACTTAGACTAGCGACACTGAGGGGAGAAATCTAGGGATTTTTAAGGGCTAAAACTAGCCGCAGGGCAAAGGTGTGAGACTGCCTGAGTGAGGTAATCCAGTCTGGCAATATTCAAAGGGCAAATGGGAAAGGATTAAGTCATTAGCTGGCCCATCAGGTGAGACATCTAGGCCATTATTGCTCATCCTTCTGATTATGGAGGTGATGATGGTCTATTTACAACTCCCACACTATCTGCCTGACTATGGGGATTGGGGATTGGGGATTTTCCAGTCTTCCAAGTGACCTGGGCATGACCTCTTTGCCTTGCCATAGAGGCACTTTGGGTCCACTGCAGAGTGCATCTGGGGCTATGTGGAATTCATACACACACAAAAATTCAGAAAAATGCACTGATGCTAACACTATGATATGCATTATTGCAAGACATGTTGCTGACCAGTCATAAAAAGTATCCAGAATTCTGTTTTAGTCTAGAATGCTGTTTGTGCAGTAAATGAAAAGAGTTGCTGTTTTTCCAGAGAAGTGCAGATGTGGCAAGGGAAGGCAGACAAAATCTTTCAGCTTCAAGCAACTTATTTCTCCAGTGTTTTATTTCATGGGCACAGTGCCTCATCCTGCTGCCATAATTATACCAGCATAACACACTAGTAGGATTCCAGGCTATGTGTGCTTTTACAAATACAAATGCACTGGGGAACACATTTTTACAAGCCACTCCTCAAGTATCCATGGGAGCAGAGAAGGCAAATATATAGAAGCTTTCCTTTGCAAAAAATGTAGTCTTTCAGAAGAAAGGTTCAATTAAGTGGTTAACAGACAAGCAAACCTCCTTCCATCATCCCAAGGGGTAAGCCATTTGCCATGGTATAATTTCATGCTCAGGTATGAGCATAGCGAAATGTGTGTTAGACATGGAAGCCCAGAAAGGAATGGGTGACACAATAAATATCCTGCAAGGAATGCAAATCAAAATCAATATGTAGAAAAGCCAAGTCCCTAAGGTCTGTCACAACTGAGCACAGCCACAGAAAAGAAATGACACTGGATATATGTAGATGTGGTCTGGATTAGTTTCCAAGGAGTTTCCTGAGATGAAGAAGGGATGCTGCATTCAGTGGAGACAGAGAGAAAGTTATGAGGGTCAGAGTAGTGTAATGGTTTGAGCATTGGACTAGGATACTGGGAGACGAAAGTTCAAATCCTGGCTCAGTCATGGATATCCACTGAGTGACATTGAGCAATTCAGCCTCAGTGGATGGCAATGGCAAATCCCCTCTGAAGAAACTTGCAAAAAAACCCAAAAACCTGTGATTGATTCATTTTAAGGTCTCCATAAGTCAGAAATGACTTGAAGACACACAACAATAACAGCAAACAAGTGAAAGTTGTTCCTCATCTGCTTCTTTATAGTCACTTTGAAAGGGAGCAGGTTGTTTGTTTTCTCCAGCCTAAGTGAAGGGGCACCAAACCGTAAGTGGAAGTCCTTTCTTCCCTAATAGGTGATCCAGTCACTGTCACTTTGGTGGAGGAAGGGATTTTCAATTACTCTTAGGTGCCTCTTCACTTAGGCTGGAGAAAACAAACAACCAGCTCTCTTTTTAAGGGAAATGACCCGGATACTGTAACACTCCATCAGTTTTCACAATAGGCAGTCCCTTGCCACACAAAAGCACCTACTATCACATTGAAACTGGGCAATTCAGAAGACACAGTCTTTGTTTTCCATTAATAAAATAAGGGTCATCATAAGCCTACATGAAGTATAATAACAACTTGAAGATTGTTATTAAAACAGCAAGCACAATTATTCCATATACTTAGAATAAGGGTGCTTCCAGAGGAAGCATTTCTTTTGAATCTGACCTGTCTCATTTACAAAATATTACAAGAACTCCATCAGTCAAGTTTTCTTCCATTTGTCACTCTTCCATGTTTTCTTGGTGTAGCATTTGGAGTTTTATTTCATGACACAGATAATAATTTTTTAAAGAGGTGTGTGTAAACTAGCTGCACAATGTCTACACTGGTAATAATAGAAGCCTTTCAACAAGAAACAAACCTCCAAGAGTGGTTTTGCATACAGCATAACTACAGACTCCCTAACTGCTTTCATATTGTTAAGCTCATATGCATATTTTCTTCACAGAATTTATAAGGTACATAATGTACATAATATTGGCAGGGAAGAGGAGGTCCTTCCATCCAGATAATGATCATACCTAGATCTGCTTGGCTTAAGCAGTACACCTTGACATCATGTGTGTTTAAAGTATACTCAGGCACCTGTCTTCTTTCACCTCAGTGGTTCTCAAACTTTGTTCCTCCAGATACTTTGGATTTCAGCTCCCAGAATTCCTCACCATTGGCCAAGCTGGCTGGAATGTTTTAGCATGTTAAAACAGCTGGAGGACTATGTCTGAGAAACTTACAATATCACACTACACTGTTATAGTGCTATTATTCCACTTGAACTGCTATGGCTGCCTCCTGTGGAAGCCTGGGATTTCCAGTT